GGTGAGCTTAAGGCAACGCCTACGAACTCTCCTTTGGCATAATGCACACGACCAGTGACCTTGACAACCTGGCACATATCCATAAGCCTTTCCTCTCTTATTAAAACTTTCTCAAACACATACGTACCCCCATATGCATTCCATGAAGAAAATTTTAACTTCCAATATTTGGTGCTGAAATGACGACTGCATTGGTTCTGGTCTCACTTGTAATGTCTGAACAACATTCTGTTCTTTTCTCCGAAAAGAATCGGCTGTGGTTGCGTGAAAAGCATTGGAATAGATCGCAACTCTTCTTTGGAATGAAGATCCAAATAACACGTCAAACTTTACCTTTACTTTCGTCGGAATGCTGAATGAGTCGTCCGAACCTAAGTCTACAGGGAACAGATCTGGATGACCTTGTGTGTGTGACTACGATTTAAATGATCATCGATAAGCCTGAATGCTGCCGAAATTTAGCAGTCCCTGCTGGATCCGGAATTTTATCCGGATGAAATTGAAGTGCCAGCTTTCGATACGCCTGTTATACTTCTTCTAGACTTGCTCCTCTTGTCAACCCTAACGTACGATACTCTTGGCGAATAGTCATGATCATGGTGGAAGAAAGTAGCACAAAGGGACCCAAGTCTTAGAACTACTAATGAAAAAGTTGATCAAAGATACAAATTACTTAAATCTGGAATTGTGTTATTCTTTAAGCCGTACAAAGCAAGATGTATCTGTACAACATTCGATTTGTGTTGCCTTTACGATACTGTGCATATCAACTTTCTACGTTGTATTGGAATGTCATGATGAAGTCGAAATATGGTATGTTCATCATACTAATTATAATCTCATTGCTTTTTGTCACGGAGATCAAAGTGTAAGCAAATCGAGGGAATAAAGAAAAGAAGTCAAGAAATAGGCTTTTCGATGAATTCGAGTAGTGCGATCCATGGCAGACTATACATTCAGCCACTTCGTGAGCTCTGAGACGTGAGACTTCCTTAAACCGACTGGCAAGACACTTGACTGAAATTGTCATCTCGCAGTATTGTACTTTGCCTCAAGAATGTGAGAACGTGGGTGACGAATATGACAACGACGGTCTGAATTTTTTTTTACAGTTGATGATTATAATTTTAGGAAAGGCGGCGTTAGATTGATTATGATAACGCTGGCTTTTTCTTAAGTTAGCTCATTCCTTCACCAGCGATTGTTTAGATGAGTGACACCTACACGTCCGCGTAACTTTTGCCATTTTCCCATTCTTTTTCTAGCTCAATGAGCTTTCCAGCTACATCAATCATGGTCAAGAAAAGCTCCACCTCCGGCTTTCCGATCCGAGACTTATTCAAAATATCCCACATGCCACCAATAGCAGCTGAATGTTCACCAGCAGATCCTCTTAGTTGCAAGCCAAGAAGTGTGCACACTGCTTAAAGAGCGTGCGGATCACTGTCCAATTTCTCAAGTTTAACAAACAAACTCGTACGCAATCCTGTACCCATGTGCGATGGGCACGCACCGAGAAAACCAAGATGCTCATTGTGCGTGAAGCTATATCTATTCGCTTTAACACTAGCCTCTACAGCTTCAACAGCTTTGACCCATCGGGCAAAGACTTCAACGATGTTTCCATCACTCTGCATTGAAATGACACGCATGTGATCTTCTTCATTCCACCAGACTAAAAGCGTCTTTTGGTCATTGTGAAAAACACCACGTCCACTTTGCCAGTTACGTGCAGCACCAGCACCCGTAAGCAAGGTACCACCCCAGGTTTTTGAATGAGAGAATATTTTTTCTGAAGTTGATCTTTCTCTTCCTTTCGTCATGCTGCTCAACGGATAGTATTATCCTTTTAGTTCAACGGTCAAGGTCGACAGTCCCGTTGCAAGAAGATACTTCACCTTCAAACGTTCCGAATGCGTCGTTCCAGGTGGCAAACTAAGACCACGAATATTACGTCCAGCACCCACACGTATCGACTGTACATATGCATTATTAATCATCTCGGCATTTTCAAGCTTTGATACATCCATATCGGTTAGGTGCTTATCTTCTGGTTTATATCCATACCATCCTTCTATACACAGGGTCATAGAGTCCTTAAAAACTTGATAACGCTCTTCATCACCAGCTACAACACCAACTCTAAGGTGTGGGTTATTAATGCCAGTTTGAATCGCCATATCCAGTGTATACCCCTTACTCGAATGTTTATACTTCAACTTGTCATATAATGTTTTCGTCAAGTGTTTAGCCATTAAACTGCGATGTTTTGGAGTAAAATTTGGAAAATTGTTTTCTTGTGATGGCAATGCTGTCGTCGACGCAACCAATAGAGCACCGGCACCAACTTGAGCCAAATATTCACCCGCCAACCCACGTGGTTGTAAGTGTAGAAGTAAGCAAACCTTTTCAAAACAAGGTCTCAGTCAATTTTGGCAGTTTGACCATATCGAAGTCCCGTTACCAAATTTGATGGACAGATGTTCATGATACAGACGTAGAGTGCACCTTATATAAGTAAACAGCTCCGTCGTATATCTCTCGACGAGGGCAGGGAGTCAGGTCAGACGTCGGAGGGTCGCTTAATCTTTTCTCACCGGAGAGTATTGCTGCCTCCTCTTGGGGATTGGCCTCAAGGTCGTCAGTCGCGTGGACTGCACCTATCTCAGAGAATCACGGATCCATAGGAAGCTGCGTAGCTGGAAGGACCCTTGATGCAAAAAAACCTTGTAGGATCAGGCACTGTACGGTATAAAAGGAGAAAAATGTATCCCACGCTATGGGTGCTTGTTGGGCGTTTTCTTTGCGCACTGTATGACGAAGACAAAACGTCTTTACATAATCCATTAGAACTAGTACGTTGATCTCTCTGAGATGTGATGTGAGCACGTGTGCAGGCATCAAACCATAATGGGGTTCCCACGCTTTTTAAAAGATTTGTTAGGGTCTGTGCCATATCGACATGTTCTGTACTAAGTTACTGGCTAAGGCACGTCACACTCGTAAGACCCACAAAGATAGGACTGGATATCTCCAGGATCTGCGTGTGTACTATGCTGTTGATGACAGCAAAAGCCAAAAGTAAATTTCGTCAGCTTGATACATTTAACTGCCTGCATTAAATAGAGCGAATTGAAGCGAAAGTTTTCCAAGTTTTCCAAGTTGCCCAGTATGTCGCACATAGCTTTCAAGGTTTGCCTATTTTAGAGGATGCATTTTCCAGCCACCGTTAAAAAACCATTACTATTTTTGCCGACAGAAGACACACAGCGACTGGAT